ATGGCACCAACGGTGAGTTATGAGAAATTTTAGCCTCCCTCCCTCCCTCCTCCTCGACCTCGCCGTTGGGCCGCCTTTCCCTCCTGCTCCCTCCCCCTGTCGCGGGCGGCATCCACGCCCCTCTCTCCGTGAAGGAAAAATTTCTGCTCGTCTTTGTCGCTTCGGTGGGGGTCATGAATTTCCTAATTTGTGCGGCGGCGGCGGTGGGGAAAGTGAGCATCGCGGAGTTGCGGGGGAAGACCCAGATCGGGTGTGGCGCGTGGACCCTTTACAGTGATTGATTTGGAGGAGGCGGGGAAGGATGCGGGGGGAGGTAGAGGATGGGGAAGGAAAGAAGTGTTGGAAGGGACAAGAGAAAGCGAAGGCATGTAGCCAGAAGGGATGGAAAAGGATGGATGCCGGCTGTTGCTGTCTCAAAATAGCACGGGACTGAAGTAAACTGTGGAAAGCGTATCGTCACAGCGAGGGTTCCATCGTAGGAAGCCACAAAACAGGCAAAGGCTCTTCAAATATCCATACACACGCCTTTGCATCCAACAAAGCTTGGCAGGTACCAGTCCTGTCATTATTTTTTTACCTTCCGATTCTTGCCATCTTGCCCTCCCTCGTCCTCCCCTCCCTATCGCTTCCGCTATCGCACATTCGCCACTGTGAGTCGGCTTTCTCTATAGCACACGCGGACTGGTCTGCCAGTCGTCGATGCCACTACTGTTCCCACCGCTTCGATTCTCTGTTGAAAATGGATTATCTCCTCTACTGCTCCTGCTCATGTATCGCCTTTCACCTACCCCTCCCACTGCGTCGTGTCTATGGACCATCTCCTATCGCCTCCACTGCGTCGTGTGTACCAATGCTCGTCTCTTGCCTCCACTTCGTCGTCTCTATCAATCTTCTTCTCCCACCGCCATGCATCCACCCCACCAAAGCCAACCCTCAGCCGCCTCTCAAATTCAACGGTATCTCCATTTCCTCTTCCCCCATCATACTCCTAACCTCCTAGATACCGCGTGGACTAACTCGACTTTCTCGACTTTCTCGAGGTGTTCATGGCGTTCCTCCCCCGTTTTTTTTCCCACCTCCGGGTATGTACACGTGCCCTGTATCTGGGACGCCGCTTTTTCCAGTTCGTCCATAGCTTTCCTTCCCGTCATGTTTCTCAACCTGGCGCGCCTGCTTGCTTTTCAAACAAAGTAGGCCTTAAACTCCCCC